GGGTTTGAACCGCCAGCCTTCTGGTTAGCAGTCAAGTGCCTTAGGCACTACACTACCAGAGCTCCCAGGACAGACTAGCATAGGATAATCAAGACAAAGAAAGAGTTAAAATGACCCAAGGACTTGAAATATTAACCTGGGAGATTCAAATGGTGGTACCAGTGTCAGAAATGGGGCAACTGGAAAGCACAGCAAGTGTGAGAGGGAAAAATGTTGGATTTAAGATACGCTGATTTGGGGTGATGGCTCTGAAATGTTAAACGTTTAAAAGAAAGAAAGTCCTGTATAGGACAGAAGACTGTACAGAGAATGGAAAAAATTAACTGCTGGGTGAAAGTAAATATTTAATTGAGATAGGGCATATAGTTTAGGGCAACTTTAACACTTCCACACCAGAAGAAAATTAAACAGAAGTTGATATTTTAGATATTTGAGGATAAGATTAAATATTTCCTAAGAATTGTATTTTACTTGATAGAATGAAGCCTTGACCAACATAGAAGATCAGTTTCTCAGATCCAGTAAAATTTTCTCCTAAACATTTAATCTTTTCTCAAATCCCAGACATTGTATATCAAATATATTTTCCAGGTGATGGAATGTATACAACTAAATAAGCTTCCCAACTAGACCATATACATTGGTCTGTGATTCAAGTATTGGTTTGCTACTTTTCAGGTTTTAGCTTCAGTCAATTAATGCTAAAAGTTATGACTGGCACCACTACTTCACAGTCCTAATTCCAGAATTTTTAAGCTGAGAGAGACTTTATACGTATCACATGTGCCTGGGCATGGCAAGTGTCAGTGCTCTGCTTTTAACGAAGAAAACAGGCTGGTTAAGGTCTTCACCATGGTTGTATGAAGAGTGGAATGGAATCACAAATAAGTTTCAGGGAACTTATATTCTGTGTCCTCCTCCTTCTCCATTGTTTGAATTTTAGAAAATAATAAGGTTGTTTAGAAGTGTTGGAGTATAAGATTATGAATTACAATAAGGAACCTTTTTCTGTTCCATCATGTGGAATAATCTACATGAAAGTAAACTCTGTTGCCAGAGTCATAATTAGTTTTTGTAACAAATTGTTAACCTAGTAACAAAAAAAATAATGGAAGTAAAACAGTTCAGAAATCCAGCATCTGAATGTTATAGGCTATCTATAAAATTCTTGAACCAAGAAAAATGTTGTTAAAATTGCCTAATCAAAAAGCAGGCTTATAAGCCTCCCAAAACCCTTCCACAACTCTCAAATCTTTGTAAATACATTTCATGCAAAGGTCACAAAAGTACATCACAATAAAAATCTTCAATATGCTAAAATTAAAAGCTAACATAGTGAGGGGAGTTGGTGCATATTATATGATATCACATAATGTGAATTCAACTGAAAATCAAGAGCTAGATGGATGATTATCAAAATTAAAGGAAGCATGACTTGATAGGGAAAAAAAGCCTATTTTGAAAATGCAGTAAAAGATACCATAGCTGAGAGTATAAACATAACACAATACTCCAAGTATTTATATTCCAGGCACATAAAAAATGAAGAAGCACTCTTGAAATCCCAGAGAATTATTCACAATATATATATATTTTTTGCTTTGCAGCTGTTATGTAGTCCTACCTCCTTTTATTTTCTCAAATAGGATCCAGATTTCAATTAAAAAAAAAAAACCTGGATAAATTTTCAAGAAATCATCTTCAGCTCACAAGGGCCTACTTGCCATGTCTATTAAATGACTGCATATTTAATATTTGTGCCCACAAACTCTACTCAAGGTATCTTAGAATCATCTCATAACTTGAAAGGCCTTAGAAACCATCTACAAAACTCTCATGTACAGATGGGGAAATCAAGGTCCAGAAATGAGAAGTAATCTGGCCAAGGTCACAGGGCCACTAAAAAGCAACGCTGGAACTTGCAATCAAGAGATGTTGCCCAATCCATTGCTTTCTACATTCTACAGTTGCCTCTCAAATGAACCTCTAATGGTGTGATATTTAAGGAATGTCAGAGTGAGCAGTGATCAAGATAAAGGATTATTGTATTCATTAGTATTAGACAGGAAGAATGGATGAATGAATATGGGTAGATATACTATCATATTACTCACAAAATACATCATGTTTCTTTTCTGAAAAACAAAACCCTATGTCTTGTCACATGTCACAGCAGTCACAGAGTTCCACTAAACACCAATCTTTCCAGCACAGAACCCACTGGTACATCCTGCAGTTTAAAGACCATTCACTTGCCAGGAGGTATAGAATAAAGGAGACTCACTCCTACTTCAATTCCACTTGCTCCCAAACCCCTAACTTCCCTGTCCTGCATTCACTATGGTGGTGCATCAACTTACACTTTCCTCACTTGCTTCCCACCTGTCCTCTCATTTCACCATTCTGACTAGGTGTCCTTTCCTAACTGTAAGCTTCTGCCTACCCTCCCCCACTCCACAGTCCCTTCTACCACTTTCTCATTTCTTTCTGCAAATCTCAGCCTTGTCGAACCCCATGGCCCTCTCTCGCTTACACAGTGATGTGGCCGGCGCCGCGAACCAATACAGGGTCTGGGGCATATCTTCGTAGATGCTCCTCGCTCACTACCCGAGGAGGGGGTGGCGCCTCCTCCTCCTCCTCCTCCTCTTTTTCTTCCTCCTCCTCCTCATCTTCCTCGTCGTCGTCTGGCCCCGATACCGACGACGACGACGGCGACGACGACGACGTTGCCGCTTCTTCTTCCTCCTCCTCCTCCTCCAGTTCCGAGATGGTGTCAAACTCCGCCATGTTGGGCAGCAGGATGCTCATCACGTGACCTCGAGATCGCCGCCACCCTCACAGAGAAGAGTTTGAACTCGCTGAATACTGGAAGAGGCGGGGGAACAAAATGAAGGGAAAGAGGAGGGTAGGAACAGGATTTGAGGAGATGCGCCTGCGTATTTGGGGAGACAGTGCAGGAGGGGGGCAGTTGGAGGCGGGGGCACTGGGAGAGAAGAGCAAACTCACTGTACGCTTGCGCGGCTGCAAGGGGAGGGGGCCGTTAGAGATGCACTCCTGGGGATTACTGAGATCTGGTCTTCGGTTGCTGATTTTAACACCCTCTTTGGGCGCCTGGTACTGGTATCCGGGGGACGTAATTTCAGGTTTTATTTCCTATTGATTAATACTGGGTATTGTTACCCTAGGGAGCCCTGGTGGCGCAATGCTTAAGCGCTCGGCTCCCAACCAAAAGGTCGGCAGTTGGAACTCTCCAGCAGCACCTCGGGAGAAAGAGGCAGTCTGCTCCTGTGAAGATTACAGCTTTGGAAACCCTATGGGCAGTTCTACTCTGTCTTTTAGGGTCGCTGAGTCAAAATCGACTGGCCGGCAGTGAATTTGAATTTATTATTACCCTAGTGCAGGCGGGCGAGGGAATGCATAGTCAATAAAAGTGAGATGATTTTGCCCAACACCCCAAGTCATATACCAGTCCCTCACTTTTCTTCAGCATTATAGTTTAGAAGATTGTAGCATCAGAGGACTCGGGATAAGCATTTTTATTAACAGTTTACTGAAGAGGAAGCTTTCTATTACTACTTGCATGTAACATTTATGGAGCATTTACTGTCAGGGTCTGTGCTTAGCGTTCTACGTGTATGTCTCAATGTACCACGATGATCTCATTTTACTGATGGGAAATTTGGATGCAGAGAGGATGTTTGTTTGTTCAAGGTCATGGCACTACTAAATAAATAGCAAACCTGGTTTTAAACTCTGCAGAAGATAGATGGGGTAGTCTGCTTCCCTAAAGATTTACAACCTTGGAAACCCAATGAGGGTTGCAATGAGTTGGAATCCACTTTATAGCAGTGAGTTTGGGGTATTAAACTCAACTCAGGGATCTCTTCTGATTCCAAAAGCCCAGTACTCTTAACCAAAGGGCTATACACGTGAAGTTATTAGGAAAGGCTTTGGAGAGTGGTGCCTTTGGATTGTTTCTTAAAAGATTAATTAGAATATGCATTTTTAAAAAATTTTTAGAGTTAGTTTGGGGGGAGAATTGGGGAGGTAGGTTTCCACTAAGGAAACATCAATTAATATCATCTATTTTCCAGATGCTACCTAGACTCCTTCAGATATTCTATCTCAGTAAACCCTTAAACGATCCTGTGTAGTTGGCATCATGATATCTGTTTTATGGATGAAAAAACGGAGTCTCAGGATGTTTAAGTAATTAATTCAGGTCTATGATAAAATTTTGCCCCAAATTTTCTATTTCAAATATTCTATTATTTCTGTTACACACTTACTAAAATGTAGAAATCATTTATTTTTGGTTTCCAGACAATGTCGCAAAGTATTTCATACTTGGCAGCAGCACAAAAATCCATGTCATAATTTCAAGATCATTGAGAAAGCAAAGTAATACACCTTCTCAGTTACAGAACAAATACTGTAATCCGGGTGTTCTAATATCAGCTTCACTGGTCTTTCTGCTACTCTACCGTTGCATCTCAGTCAGATGGTGAAACAAACACTTTAATTTAGAATAAGGATCACATTATCAGTATAGCAGTATACACAAAGTATTTAAGGTTTACAAAGGAGGGAGAAATTAGGGTTTTTTTTTTTGTTGTTGTTGTTCAAACCACTGCCATTATCAAGAAGTTGGGGGTTATTAAAGTGAAAAAAATTCTCATTGTATTCAAAAGTGTGATTATTAGGGTCTTTAAAAATAAGTTGTAACACTATCAATAAACAACAAAACTGTTGTTGTTATGTGCCGAGTCAGCCCTGACTCATAGCGACCCCTCCTTGGGTTTCCGAGGCAGTATCACTATGGAAATAGGATTGCCCAACCTTCCTTCCGAGGAGTGGCTGATGGGTTTGA